TAGAACTCCATTTGTTCTATCAGCTGAGTACAAGAAACTGCTCATTTACTGATTTCAACTACCCAATAAAGTGGTCAGAAATTGGCAATTTGGCCAATTTCAAGCAAATTTCAAAAGCTGCCAGTTTCAAAATAGGATCCAGAATAAACAAGACAGACATTCCTGGCACTAAAATAACATTTTCTCTGTTCTTTAGTCACATCTCCAGGCCCCTCTTATATTACTCTTTTTTTTCCATTTTGAATTTTTATTCTCACAAAAAATAAAAGATTTACAGTGGACCCCCGGTATTCGATATTAATCCGTTCCTGAGAGCTCATCGAATACCGATAATATCGAAAACCGAATCAATTTTCCTCATAAGAAATAATGGAAATCAAATTAATCCGTGCAAGACACCCAAAAGTATGAAAAAAAAAATTTACTACATGAAATATTAAGTTTAATGCAATAGAATAATTACAATAACAATAAAATAATTGACACTTACCTTTAATGAAGATCTGGTGATGATTTCTTAATTTCCATACTAATTCTCACCCTTTTTACCACAGGGTTGGCACTAGAAGCTTTCTTGGGGCCCATGGTGACTTATTTTGCAGAAACAAGCACCAAACACAGTGATAATATGGATAATATGGAATGTACTGAATGTATCCTTAGATGCGCGCACACTGGCTGGCTTGTAAACACTGGCACACACGGGGCAGTTCAGGCCACACGTGGACAGGTCTCGTACGAATCGTATCGAATACCGGGTTTTCAATCGAATACCGAGGAAATTTTTTTGCGATATAATGCATCGAATACCGGATTTATCGAATACCGATCCCATCGAATACCGGGGCCCACTGTACTGTTATGCAGATTACTGCTTTATTTTTTAAAAATGGATAAAAAATATCAGACACTTGTGAAAGATATTTATACTCACCAGTGAATGTATTGGATGTGTGGTAGATTTTTTTTGCTCTTGAACATGGGCAAAAATAAAACATTTCTGCTTTTTTGGGCCCAAATTTCAAGTATTTATTTCGTGAAACCAATCAAAATATTCTATTTCTGAAATGTATCTTCCATTCTATCAAATGGCCCAAGAAAACGAAAATGCAACCATAAATTCCCTACGAAAATACATGAAAAAATTTTGCTGTTTTAAAACCCAAAAACACGGTTGGAGTTTTTTTTTTTTCTATTATGCACTGCTGCTGCAGGATTTTTTTTTAATTGCACACACTGACCATCAGACCATTCTTTCATATGTAGGCCTACCAACTTTCTTTCACCAGTTAAGGGCTTAGAATTTTGGGTATAAATATGGGACGAACATGGCTATCAAGTAAAATCTTGAGACGTAGTGTGCAAAATTTTTTTTTTTTTTTGGCCACTTACTGCATAGCCCATTGTCTCATATCTAGGGGCCCCTATACCTTCCAGTAACTGAGAAGCTGAGCTCACCCCTTAGAAAAAATGGGACCAATTTTGGGACTTCAAAGCCTTTGCACAATGGGACCCCCCTCAAAAAGGGTTAATACTTTAAACATTGCACTTTCCATATTTTTAACATTTCTTCTACAGGGAAGGTCCTACTTATACAGAGGGTTTGGTACCAAAACTCTGCGTAAAGTGAATTTGTGTAAAATAAACAAGCCTTTTTTCATTTAAAAAACATATAAAAGCCTGATAACATGTTTACACTTCACAATTTAAATGAGAATGAGCTCACCTATAAAATGCAAATTGGTAAATATTTTATTATCTTCTTTTTTTCTTTAAAAATGGCTATATCCCACTGAACGGGGGGCTCAAAAAAAAAAAAATGTTTCTCTTTTTTTAACTATAGTAATGATACAGGGAAGGGATACTAACCACTTGTTCCCGGGATTTTAGTCGCCTCTTACGATACGTTTTGGGTTAAGAGGGAAAACTGTTCCACTTTCCCCCTGGGTAAGGGAAAAAACAAGAAAAAAATATTTGAAATAAGAAAACCCAGAGGGGTGTATATATACATGTTTGTACATGCATGTGTAGTGTGACCTAAGTGTAAGTAGAAGTAGCAAGATATACCTGAAACCTTGCATATATTTTTTTTTAACAAATCGGCTGTCTCCCACCAAGGCAGGGTGACCCAAAAGAAAGAAACCCTCCCCCTCCCCAAAAACAATGTATGGCCCTTGCCAAGGTATGGCTGCATCATCTTGCGAACAACATTACCAAAAATGCCCAACATGCACCAGTATCGTCGAGTGTGTTTTTCCCTGTGTAGATAATGACATCCAACACAAGACCAGTCTCACAGTCACACATTACGAAGAGTTTTATTCCAAAGCGATTACGTTTGCTTGGTATATATTGTTTGAATGACAGTCGTCCCTTGAACAGAATCAAGGACTCATCAACAACAATATTCTTGAATGGATAAAAGTAGGCACTGAATTTTTGCTTGAGATGCATAAACAATTCCCTGATTTTGTATAGGTCATTTCAGTTTGGAGTATTCCTGTCTGAGAAGTGCAACATTCGTAGCAACAGAGTGAATCTGTTGCAGGGGAGGTGGTCACAGAAGACTGGAGTACTGATGAAGTGGTCTGTGGACTAGTAGTGTGCTATATTGTTCTTATAGGTGTGTGGCATAAGCATGATTGTGCCAAGGAATAAATACATTTCAGCCACAGTTGTATCTTTTCACCTGCGCAGCTGTGATGATTCTGAAAACATCTATGTGGTCCATTTTATACCTGTAGTACATGTTGGTCTGGGTAACAATCAGGTTCATTATCGGTTCATCAAAGTATAGTTGAAAATAGTCTAACTCTGTAGCCTCATTTGTGATGGGACAGTGTGGCAAGATACCACTTCCAATGGCATCAAAACTGAAAGGATGTGGCATGAATGGTGTACTTTCTGTCCATTTCCATTCGCGATCAGATGGTGCAGGGTGGACCTGTGGCATGGGGCGTGGGGGAGCACAAGGGGGGATGGGAGTGGAGGCAGCACATGGTTGAAAGGGTGCTGGGCAGTCCTTTGTCTGCCCACCCACTGTGCCATGAGGTCCAGGCACCATGCCACCAACCTCATCTTCCATCCCAGCATACTCACCTTCATGATCACTATCACTCTCACTAGCTGGGGTTTTGGATCGTGACCTGCCATGACCCTTGTCACTGACTACATATGGCACACTGCCTGAACGTAGGTTATGATGCCTAAAAGTACGTTTCACTGGGGAATAATAATAATCACTGTCAGTTGACGAATCCTCTATGGGCATAAAATCGATTTCATCATCGTCACTCATATCACTTTCACTATTGTCATCACCATAATGCTTGGAAAATGATAATTTCCTCTTGCAGAGTTGCCTTTGGGTAGTAACACTAGCAACCTCAGAGGTACTTGGCTGAGGGTCTGGTATGGCCACACTGTCCACACTGGCCACCCCAGAGGTGATGGACTGAGGGTCATCTGGGTTATCATCAACAGTTTCACTAATTCCTTGAACATTAGTGGCTATATCGGTGTTAAATTCACTAACCTCACATTCTGTTACACTTTCCGAGAATAGCAGTGTTAATATTCCGAGGCGTGAGTGAATCACGGGGATTTGTCATGATGTTAACCCAAGATGGAGCTGATCTACATTCGGAGTGCTATGCATGCAAACATAGATCAACGTTTGGACAGTTTAAGGGTTAAATGAGTGTGTAGGTGCATTGTCTCTTTGCTTCTGTCTTTTGCACTAGTTGGTTGACTTATTTTTGTAGCTAGCTATCCTTGTAGTGGCTGACTGTCTTATACTTGTGGTCAGCCATCTTTGGAGTGGTGACTGGGTTAGCTGTTGCAGCAGCTGTCTGGCTTATTTTTGTGGTTAGTCATTTATACAGTGATTGATTGACTTATTCTTGTGGGTAGCCATCCTTGCAGAGATTGGTTGGCTTAAATCCTGTGGGTAGCTGTTTTTGCAGCAGTTGACTGGCTTATATTTGTGGTTAGCCATCCTTACAGTGGCAAGTGGCTTATACTCATGGGTAGCCATCTTTGCAATGATTGGCTGGCTTATACTTGTAGGTAGCCATCTTTGCAATGATTGGCTGGCTTATACAGTGGACCCCCGCATAACGATCAGCTCCCAACTCGACCAATTATGTAAGTGTATTTTTGTAAGTGCTTTTGTAGGTGTATTTTTAGGGATCTGAAACGGACTAATCTAATTCACAATATTTCTTATGGGAACAAATTCGGTCTATAACGGCACCCAAACAGACTTCTGGATTGAAATAATATTGTTATGTGGGGGTCCACTGTACTTGTGGGTAGCCATCTTTGCAATGATTGGCTAGCTTATACTTGTGGGTAGTCATCTTTGCTATGATTGGTTGGCTTATGCTTGTGCGTGGCCATCCATGCAACCCTCCTGAATTTCATAATTATCAAAAGTATTGTGTACATGTAGAATAGTTTTAAGACTCTTTATTAAAGCCACATCAGCGGGAAGGTCAGGTTTTGCATATTTGGATTATTCCTATTGAATGACTGAATGAGATTTTTCCTGATCTCACACAAAATACTGGTTTCTAAAGCACACATTGTGTTTGTCTGGCATTTTCAAAATTTTCTTGCTGCTTTCTGAAATTCCTCATTCAGTCCAACACTACAGGAATGTTGGATTATCCCACCCACCTTACAAGGAGAGTTCCTTGATGCTGAAGGGCTCTGGATCAAAGGAATTTATCCTACTCTTAGATCAAACTGTCCTACTCTTAGATCAGACCTGATCACACCCATTTTCAGCACATTGTATGATATTTAGGTACAGCATATCTTCATGATGATTATAATGGAGTATCCCTAAATAACAGCAATTACAGCTTCAGCATTGGCACACCTGTGAGATGCTAAGAAAGTAAGGAGATCCTCTGAAATGAGCTGTGGCAGGATAATAGATCTTAGCTTGTAAATGTAATTATGTAAAATTAATTAATTTTTCTTTAATTTGGCAGAAAGAACCTCCAGCTCCAGAGGATGTAGTTTCTTCCTCAAGTCAAGAACTACCAACACATTCTGTGGGTGTACAGACCTCTACCAGATTGTTAAAGGTTGGTGCTTATGTAGCATTTGTATTTTCCTAATAAGGGTAAGGTGAAGCAAGCTTTTATAACACCTTACAAAAGAATATATAGCACATTTTTAGTTTTATTTGATTTGTTAAATTTGTAATAAAAAATGTAATACAGTGACAGTAGTTTTTGTATATTTCAATACTGCATGCTGTAAAGTTTTCTTTCCTTCTTTTCCTTTAATGTAAGTCCCATGAAGCAAGTTAAGGACTCTTAATCCAAGGAAGTGGCAGTGCCCTTCTCTTTCTTGGATCAAACCTGATATAATGAAAATTCTTCCCTTTTACATTGCTTATATTTGTAGACTTTTAATGAGGGTGTAAGAGGTACAGATTTGAGCATCCAGTAGGAGTATGTGACCATATTAGAGGAGAGTAAGTGGATGTTAGTGTTATATATAGTTGGTTGTGCAGATGGAGATGGAACAAGGTAATATCTATAGAGAGACTATAGAATACCAGCTATCTGGACATGAGTTTTGAAAGATGGCAAGCATGGTGTCTGCATTACGACAATGGGGATAAGATGTGGGAAGATGCATTCTTTCTAAAACTGGCATATCTCACAGATTTTATTTATTTTTTTGCTGAGATCAATCTGATAACTGTTTCACTAAAAGGAGATATGGTGAATATTCTCACAGATCAAGACAAGGTTATCAGGGTTCTTTGTAAGCTCCAGCTTTACAAACATAGAGTTGACTCACCATTGGACTGTGATGTTTAGGTCTTCTAGAAAGGCATCTATTGGGAGTGAGTAATGGTAGATGTATTTTTCTTCAAGTCACCTTGAATTAGTGAGAGATGGCCAGTGAGTTAAAATATTATATATGGTACCTGCATTTTTTCTGCTATCTCTGCTTAAGCAAGTAATGTTAATTTTATTGTGTTGAAGTAGAAATTATTTGAGAAAGAAAAAGTATTATGAACTATCAAAGGTTTCACTTTAACAGATTGCACTGGAAGAATATGGTGAAAGAAGCAACAAGAGAACAAAAGACACAGAGAAAGCGATGAGAGACCTAGCTGACAAGGTAACATAAAAAATGACGTGTATGATAATTTATGTACAAAACTTTATTTTTTCCCCTTTCCTGGACAGTAAAATATTGGATGTTTTAGTTTACTTGGGCTTCTTTAAATAACACATAATGGATTAATTTTTTAATAGTTCTTAATAGTGGGAAGATTCTAAGTTTCTGCAAATATATAAAACAAACAGGAAAAAAGGTATTAACATTGTGTAGGGGTGAAGAAGAATAAGAGTGAAATTACAGCCTCTCCTCATTTGGCGACATACTTGTTTACTGATGACTTGGACTTACAACGGGCTCTCTGACCAGTATGCATACCTAAATAATGTATATTAGAGCTGATTTCCTCTATTCTGTTTATTACAATATACAGTACACTACTATATAAACATTTAAAAATATACCAGAAATGTTATAAATGGTGCAAAGGTGACATTAAAACAGTATCAAAGATGGTTGACACAAGCCCACTACCATTATAGTATGCTCCTTGTTTAGTAATGAATTCGTTTACTGACGTGGTCTTTGGAACAGAACTCCGTTGTTAAGTGAGGAGAGGCTGTATTTTTTATTGTCTGCATACAACTTAACATAGAGCCCTTGATAATAATAGATTTGAATTGTATTTAAATTTTTTATTGAGCCATTTTTGATTGTTTAGGATAGAGGAAATGTGTTAACAATGATACAGACACAAGAAAAAATATATTGAATAATTTTGTAATTATTATGAAGTTCCTTACAGTATTTGCAATGGATACAAAGTCTTAGTGCCAATAGCCAGAAACAAAAGATTGGAACAGAGAAAGCTTTTATTTTGACAATTGTTTATGCTCAGTGTGGAGCTTTATGAAGTTAATACAAGGAATATAAAAGCATCCTTATGCATATAACTGGAAAGGGCAGTGTCAGCATGAGGGTTCCCTGCTGGTGTGAGGACAGGGAAGAATATGTCAGTTGGAGGGAAGATGGATGGTGATGTAAAGAGAGGAGCTCTGCAGGAGGCCTATATGGGTAGTGCAACATCTGCAACAGTTAATTTTGTTGAGATGTTTACTGGTTGAGTTTCTATTTCTCTAGTATTGTGTGTGCCAGGGGTTAAGCCAAACTGAAAGCTCACAGGTACCATGCAAGAGATCACTAGACTGAGACTTAACAGCCAGAATGACAACAATTCTGGAGTATGCACCATCCCATTTGGGGGCTGTAACAGAAAGTACATAGGCAAAGCCTCCTGTACAGCTTACTAAAAATAATAATAATAAGAAAACCATCAGAGTGGGATGTTTGAATGTGCGTGGATGCAGTGCGAATGATAAAGAAATGATTGTGGATGTTAAGAATGGAAAGAAGCTGGATGTGCTGGCACTAAGTGAAACAAAGCTGGAGAGTTTCAGTGGGGAGAAATAAACAGGATTAGGTCAGCGATTTCTAATAGAGTTAGAGCTAAGGAAGGAGTAGCAATAATGTTGAAGGATAAATTATGGCAGGAAAAGAGGGAATATAAATGTATAAATTCAAGGATTATGTAGAGTAAAATAAGGGTTGGATGTGAAAAGTGGGCTATAGTAAGTGTTTATGCACCTAGAGAAGAGAGAAGTGTAGAGGAGAGAGAGATTTTGGGAAATGTTGGGTGAGTGCATGGGGAGTTTTGAGCTGAGTGAAAGAGCACTTGTGGTTTGGAACCTAAATGCTGAAGTGGGTAAAAATGTTGCGGAGAGAGTAGTAGGTAAATTTGGGGTGCCAGGGGTAAATGAAAATGGAGGCCTTTAATTGAACTATGTGTAGAAAGCAGTTTGGTAGTAAGTAATACATATTGTATGAAAAAGAGGATAAATAAGTATACAAGATATGATATAGCACCTAATAAAGGTAGTTTATTAGATCGTGTATCGGTGGATAAAAAATTGATGGGTAGGCTACAGGATGTGCATGTTTATAGAGAGGCAACAGACACATTGGATCATTATTTAGTTGTAGCTACAGTTAGAGTAAGGAGTAGATGGGGCAAAAGAAAAATGGCAACAGCAAGTAAGAGAGAGGTGAAGATTTATAAACTAAGGGAGGAGGAAGTTGGGGTGAGATATAAGCAATTGTTGGCAGAAAGGTGGGCTAGTGCAAGTATGGATAGTATGGGAGTTGAAGGGGGGTGGGATAGTTGTTAAAAATACAGTGTTAGAATTAGGGGCAAAGTTTGTGGTTATAGGAGGGTGGGTGCAGGAGGAAAGAGGAGTGATTGGTGGAATGATGAGGTGAAGGGTGCTCCTCCCTTGACCCAGTAGTGAGTGAATCTGGCAGAAGGTATAGTCACTTGTCAACCCCTCGGCTACGTTGGATCATCTGACCACAAGGCTGTTTTTATCGACACTTAAGATCTCAACAGAACGAGGTGAGGAGTCCACCCGTACAACCTGGCTATGGGAAAGAAGTAATTGGCCAGCCCTTTGCTCTGAGCTCACCACCACCGATTGGAATGCTCTTCTCCAAGGGGATGTTGACAACCAAGTGAAAGCCTTCACTGGCCACATCCTTAATCTACAACAAGAACACAGTTCCTCACTGGCAATATGTGACGAAGCCTACAGATCAGCCTTGGTTTGGCTTTCGTTGTAAAGAGGCTGCTACTGCTAAGTACAAAGCATGGCGAAGGTATAAGAGACATCCTACCACCTATAACAGGAACTTGCACAGGCAAGCCTGTAGGCATATGGGTGACGTTCAAAAGTGGGCCATTGCTAAATGAGAAGTGGACACAAAAAGGAAGCTAGCATCAAGTAGGGTAGGCTCCAAAACCTGGTGGTCCCTGGTCAAGGACAGACAAGGTTATCTGCCTGATGAACTCATTCCACCTCTAAATCGACAGGATGGGACCACCTCTACTAGTAGCCAAGAGAAGGCAGACCTCTTTGCCGAACATTTTGCTACCAAAATGCAAGTTCCTGATCCAGCAAGGGACCCTCCTTGGCTAGCTGCAAGAACTGTGTCCAAACTCTCAGTGGTGACAATAAGGCAGGAGGAGGTGCATTTCCTTCTTAAATCGCTTGACCAAGAAAAGGCTGTGGGCCCAGACAAGTTGAGCCCAAGTTTGCTGAGAAGATGTGCAGACCAGCTAGCAACACCTCTAACTCACATCTTTCAGCACTGCCTAGTACAGTGTAAATGGCCCTCTCTGTGGAAAGAGGTAAATGTAGTCCCTGTTCACAAAAAGAAGAGCAGAGCAGAAATCAGCAACTACAGACCAGTGTCACTCCTGTCAATCACTGGTAAGATCCTTGAGACAATAATCTCAAGACAAATGACAGAGTTTTTTTTGACTACCACTCACTACTTTGTGATCATCAATATTGCTTTAGGAAAGGTTACTCTGCTGCTGATCTATTGTTAAACCTCTCCACTAAGTGGCACCAGTCACTGGATGAATCCAAAGTCAGCTGTGTGGTAGCACTGGACATTGCTGGTGCTTTCGACCGGGTGTGGCACCAGGGCTTCTTAGCAAAACTTCAAGCACTGGGAATTGCAGGCTCTATGCTGTGTCTCCTCAGTGATTACCTTCATGGTAGATCTCTAAGGGTAGTTCTCAATGGAACTGAATCAGCAAGACATCCTATAGGGGCAAGTGTTCCACAAGGAAGCGTGCTGGGACCATTGTTATGGAATGTCTACTTCAACGACCTTCTTCATCTCATCCCAGAATCCCATGCATATGCAGACGACTGTACACTGACATTCACTTATCCAAGAGAAGAAATGCCAGCTGCTCTAAGCTACATCAATCACCAGCTAAGAGCTATATCAGCTTGGGGAAATAGATGGCAAGTAACATTTGCACCTGAGAAAACACAAATGATGATGATCTCTAGGCACCATGATGGCAATGCTGGTGCAGTAGTAAGGATGAATAGGAGGGTGTTGGCACCTGGAGAAGAAGTTCATATCTTTGGGGTGAAATTTGACTCCAAACTAACCATGAAGAACAATGTTGGAAATCTTGCAAACAAGGCAGCCAGGAAGCTTACAGTACTTCGCCGTATCTCGCATCTGCTTGACAGTAGGGGTAGCAAGATTCTGTACGAGGCACAAGTACGCTCATACCTTGAGTATGCTCCACTTTCTTGGTTTGCCTGCCCCCCCCCCTCATCTGCGACTGCTTGACAGAGTAGAGAACAGAGCAAGACGTCTCATCTCTCGCCCGGACCCATCCTGAATAGATCTGTCATTTCAGCAGAGCCTTCAACACAGGAGGGATGTGGGTGGCCTTACTGTTATGTACAAGGTCAGTATTGTCAAAGTACACACTTGGATCCACTTCGAGGACAGCGTGAAACAAGCTTTTATGCCACAAGACGGGCAGAAAGCAGCAACTTCACTCTGGCTGTACCCTTCTCCAGAACATCACTCCATGTGAGATCATATATATTCAGGATGACTCGAGTTTGGAACACATTCGTACAGCATTATGATGTCAACGAGATAAAGTCAGTTGATCAAATGAAAATGCTGGCCCACAGATGGCTCCAACTTCATCCTGTTCCCTACTTGTATGTCTCATAACAATAAAAATGCTTTCAAATGAGCTGATGTAGGTAACAGCTCTTAGCTTGTCAATAAAGTTAGGAATCCTTAACCTAACCTTGTCAAACCCTGTGTAAAAAAAAAAAAAAGGTAGCTTATGAGAGATTTCTCCAAAGCAGAAATGATATAAGAAGGGCAGAGTATATGGAGAGTAAAAGAAAGGTGAAGAGAGTGGTGAGTGCAAAAGAAGAGCAATTGATAGAATGGGTGAGACACTGTCAACAAATTTTGCTGAGAAGAAGAAAAAATTTTTTTGGAGTGAGATAAACAGGTTAAGAAAGTCTAGGGAACAAATGGATTTGTTAGTTAAAAACAGAGTAGGGGAGTTAGTAGATGGGGAGTTGAAGGTATTGGGAAGATGGCAGGAATATTTTGAGGAACTTTTAAATGTTGATGAAGAAAAGGAGGTAGTAATTTCATGCACTGAC